CTTCCTATTTCAAGTGTTACTGTACTTCATATTGCTTGCTGAGGAGTGATAGGTAGCATTGCTCGATCGCCTTCTGTAGTCACGCTCCCAGTCTGACTTCCTGTCGAACGATGAGGTCCGTGAAGCTTCGTTGCTTTTTTCTCCCCCCGAACCGGTCGTCGCCATCCGCCCCAGCCTTCGTGCGGTGGTGTCGGGCGGGAAGTCGACGAGCTACTCCGGAGCGGCACTCGGGGCAGCCATTCGAGGCCGTGTGCTTCCGTGGCGCGGCGTGCAGGCTCGGCATGCCTCTGTTTCCCCGCACCTCCTCGCTGAAGTTGGCAAGAGCGTGCATTTTTACTGCTTGGGGCACAGTGGGCATTATAGCCCCCAGCCCTCCTCCCCCCGATAACGTAGCGCCCCTCCCCCCCACAGTGCGCTCTGGGCACTGCCGCCGTGAGCATCCGGGTCTCCATCGTCCGCATAGAAGTCCGCGCAGGAGCCTGGTCCGCATTGCGAATATCATGGGGATCCGCACAGGGAGGAGGAGGAGGAGGAGGAGGAGGAGGAAGAGGAGGAGGAGGAGGAGGAGGAGGAAGATGAGGAGGAGGAGGTGGAGGTGGAGGTGGAGGTGCAGGTGGCGGAGGAAGGAGGAGGGAAGGACGTCGCATTATATTATCAGTACATCTCTGGCGTGGCGTTTAGCTGTCCGCAGTAGATCCTCACCTACATGCTCGTTCTACCTGTCCTGGGCACGCAGGCGCTGTGATGTGCGCTGGCGCTGCGTGCACGCGGATGCAGTGGTGCAGGCAGGCGCTGTGGTGTGCACAGGCGCTGCGGTGCACGCAAGCGTTGTGGTGTACACAGGCGCTGTGTTGCACACGGTTGTTGCGGTGTTACACATTCGCTGTGGTGTACACTGGCGCTGTGGTGCACGCAAGCACTCTGGTGTACACAGGCGCTGCGTCGCACACGGCTGTTGCGGTGTACGCAGGCACTGTGGTGTACACAGGCGCTGTGGTACACGCGAGCATTGTGGTGTATACGTATACAGGTGCTGTGGAGGTGTGCACAGGCGCTGTAGTGCACGCAAGCGTCGTCGTGTACACAGGCGCGCGGTGTTACACATGCGCTGTGGTATGCACCAGCGCTGGTGCACGCAAGCGCTGTGGTGTACACAGGCGCTGCGTTGCACACGGCTGTTGCGTTGTACGCAGGCGCTGTGGTGTACACGCGCGCTATGGTGCACGTGAGCATTGTGGTTTAGAAAGGCGCTGTGGTGTGCACAGGCGCTGCTGTGCACGCAAGCATTGTGGTGTACACAGGCGCTGTGTTGCACACGGTTGTTGCGGTGTTACACATTCGCTGTGGTGTACACTGGCGCTGTGGTGCACGCAAGCACTCTGGTGTACACAGGCGCTGCGTCGCACACGGCTGTTGCGGTGTACGCAGGCACTGTGGTGTACACTGGCGCTGTGGTACACGCGAGCATTGTGGTGTATATATATATATATATATACAGGCGCTGTGGAGGTGTGCACAGGCGCTGTAGTGCACGCAAGCATCGTCGTGTACACCGGCGCGCGGTGTTACACATGCGCTGTGGTATGCATCAGCGCTGGTGCACGCAAGCGCTGTGGTGTACACATGCGCCATCCGCCCCAGCCTTCGTGCGGTGGTGTCGGGCGGGAAGTCGACGAGCTACTCCGGAGCGGCACTCGGGGCAGCCATTCGAGGCCGTGTGCTTCCGTGGCGCGGCGTGCAGGCTCGGCATGCCTCTGTTTCCCCGCACCTCCTCGCTGAAGTTGGCAAGAGCGTGCATTTTTACTGCTTGGGGCACAGTGGGCATTATAGCCCCCGGCCCTCCTCCCCCCGATAACCTAGCGCCCCTCCCCCCCACAGTGCGCTCTGGGCACTGCCGCCGTGAGCATCCGGGTCTCCATCGTCCGCATAGAAGTCCGCGCAGGAGCCTGGTCCGCATTGCGAATATCATGGGGATCCGCACAGGGAGGAGGAGGAGGAGGAGGAGGAGGAAGAGGAGGAGGAGGAGGAGGAGGAGGAAGATGAGGAGGAGGAGGTGGAGGTGGAGGTGGAGGTGCAGGTGGCGGAGGAAGGAGGAGGGAAGGACGTCGCATTATATTATCAGTACATCTCTGGCGTGGCGTTTAGCTGTCCGCAGTAGATCCTCACCTACATGCTCGTTCTACCTGTCCTGGGCACGCAGGCGCTGTGGTGTGCGCTGGCGCTGCGTGCACGCGGATGCAGTGGTGCAGGCAGGCGCTGTGGTGTGCACAGGCGCTGCGGTGCACGCAAGCGTTGTGGTGTACACAGGCGCTGTGTTGCACACGGTTGTTGCGGTGTTACACATTCGCTGTGGTGTACACTGGCGCTGTGGTGCACGCAAGCACTCTGGTGTACACAGGCGCTGCGTCGCACACGGCTGTTGCGGTGTACGCAGGCACTGTGGTGTACACAGGCGCTGTGGTACACGCGAGCATTGTGGTGTATACATATACAGGCGCTGTGGTGGTGTGCACAGGCGCTGTAGTGCACGCAAGCATCGTCGTGTACACAGGCGCGCTGTGTTACACATGCGCTGTGGTATGCACCAACGTTGGTGCACGCAAGCGCTGTGGTGTACACAGGCGCTGCGTCGCACACGGCTGTTGCGTTGTACGCAGGCGCTGTGGTGTACACGTGCGCTATGGTGCACGCGGGCATTGTGGTGTAGAAAGGCGCTGTGGTGTGTACAGGCGCTGCGGTGCACGCAAGCATTGTGGTGTGCACAGGCGCTGTGTTGCACACGGTTGTTGCGGTGTTACACATTCGCTGTGGTGTACACTGGCGCTGTGGTGCACGCAAGCACTCTGGTGTACACAGGCGCTGCGTCGCACACTGCTGTTGTGGTGTAAGCAGGGCAGGCACCGTGGTGTACTCAGGCGCTGTGGTACACGCGAGCATTGTGGTGTACACAGGCGCTGTGGGCAGGTCGCCACCTACACGGTGCTCGCCTCGTCGTCGTCGTCGTCGTCGTCGTCGTCGTCGTCGTCGCTCGTCGCTCGTCGCTCGTCGCTCGTCGCTCATCGTCGTCGTGCGCGCGGGCGCGGCTGTGGTGCCGGCGTCACACGGCGGGGGGGGGCGTTACATGATGCCCCCCACCCTTCCCCTTCCCCCCCTAATAACGCCCATTATCGCCAAATTAGCCTGACGAAGGACCCAACCATATGCAGCTGCGAGTGCCGCGAGGGAGATGAGACGAAGGAGGGGGGCGCGCAAACTCCGAGTAGCGCACGCGGTATAGCGTTCTGCCACGAAACGTGTTTGAGGGTGTGCTGACATGAGTCGGGAGGACTCTTGCGAACGTCGCCACTGGGGCCTTCGGTGGAGCTCCCTATGGGGCCACGAAGCGTGTGAGGGCTGTGCCGAAATGGGCGGGGGGACGCGTGCGAACCCTTCCACTGGGGCCTTCGGCGGAGCCCCCTATGGGGTCACGAAGCGTGTGATGGGTGTGCCGAAATGGGCGGGGGGACGCATGCGAACCCTGCCACTCAGGCCTTCGGTGTAGCTCCTTATGGGGCCGAGGGGCGTGCCGAAATGGGCGGGGGGATGCATGCAAACTGTGCCACTGGCGCCTTCGGTGGAGCTCCCTATGGGGCCACGAGCCGTGCGAGGGGTGTGCCGAAATGGGGCGGCGGTGCCATGCGGACCCTCCCGCTGGGGCCTTCGGTGGAGTTCCTTATGGGGCCACGAACCGTGCGAGGGGTGAACATCATTGATTTTCCCTAGGTTTTGGAAGGATTTGGGCATTTGCTTCTTTTCGGCCTTCCGACGGCCCGAGACGGCCCAAGAGCCCCCAAAGATCGCCCCAAGATCGCCCAAGAGGTTTCCAGGATGGCCCCAGAACGACACAAGCGGCACCCACAAGACGACCCAAGAGGCCTCCAAGACGCCCAAGATGGCCTCAAAGACAGCCCTGGAGCACCCCAAGAGGGCCCCAAGTCGGCGTCAGACGGGCCCTGAGCCCACCACGACGGCCCAAGACGGCCCAGGAGGCCTCCAAGAGGGCCTCTCCAGGAATTCCCGAAGAGACCAACATCATTGATTAGGTTTTTGAAGGATTTTGGCACTTGCTTCTTTTCGGCCTTCCGCCGGCCCGAGGCGGCCCGAGAGCCCCCAGAGATCGCCCCTAGATTGCCCAAGTGGCCTCCAGGATGGCCCCAGAACGGCCCAAGAGGCCTCCAAGACGGCCCCAAAAGGGCCCCAAGATGGCCCAAGAGGCTTCCAAGACGCCCAAGATGGCCTCCAAGACTGCCCTGGAGTACGCCAAGAGGGCCCCAAGTCGGCCCAGAGAGGCCGGCAAGATAGTTTCCGACGGCGTCAGACGGGGCAGGAGCCCACCAAGACGGCCCAAGATGGCTCCAAGATGGCCCAAGACGGCCCAGGAGGCCTCCAAGATGGCCTCCAGGAAGGCCCGAAGAGTCCGTAGGTTTTTGAAGGATTTGGGCATTTGCTTCTTTTCGGCCTTCCGACGGCCCGAGACAGCCCAAGAGCCCCAAAGTATCGCCCCAAGATCGCCCAACAGGCCTCCAGGATGGCTCCAGAACGGCCCAAGAGGCCCCCAAGACGGCCCAAAAAGGGCCACGACTCCAGCTGCCCTGGCCTGTGCTGCTTCGAGGACCAGCCGTGCAGGTACAACACCACGGGCTGCTGCTGAGGGGAGAGTTTCTCTGCAGCATGGTCGATCAATTGGAGTGCTTGCACGGTGCTGTCTGCCGCCCCATCGCCTTCTCCCTTCTCAAGTGCATGAGCGTGGGCCGGGCCATGGCCCCGGGCGCCACCGCCACCCTGGCGGTGAGCGCCGCGGTGGGCGCGCCCGCGGCCTGGGCGGGCTTGCGGCTGGCGGGCGGCTGGTTGGCGGCGGTGGTGGCGGCCTCCACCACCTGCCCTGCCTGCGTCTGCCACGCGCCCGCGTGGCCACCCGCGCCGCCGCCCCCGCCGCCTCCGCCCATGGGGCCGGCGCCGAGGGGCTCGCAGCGGCGGTAGCGACCGAGCTGGTGCCCCTGCTGACGAACGGGTCGCCCGCGCCGGCGGCCTGTCCTTCGGCGGAGGCGGTGGCCGCGGTGCTGCTGGAGAGGCTGCCCTCTGCAGCTGGGGCCGCGGGCCCCTCCGAGGCGGCGCCGCCGCCCGTGGCTGGCCCAGCCTTAGAGCCTGAGCAAGGCTCAGGCATGCTCCTGGCCTGGAGTGTGGCGGTCTCGGAGCTCGTCGTGCTTGTCTGCTGCTGCGCCGCTGCCCGCCTCCGACGCCATGCTGGTGTCTCGCCGCCGCCGTCGTGGGACGGGCGTGATCTGGTCGGAAGTGCCCGCCGCCGAGGTGGAGGCGTGGTGCGCTGCGGTGCGCTGAGCTCCGACCGGGCTTGAGGCTAGGGCTCTGGTACCCGCGGGATGCGGTGTGGCACGAGGGGCTGCTGCTGTACCCCGCGGGAGGGACGTACTGGTGGGTGTTGGCGCCCGGCGCCGACACGTACGTGGAGGACGTAGTAGGCGTGGTGGGCGACTGGCGCAGCAGAGCCTTCGCTTGCAGTCCCGCTGGGGTTGCCCCCTCCGTGGCCAGGCCAGCCACAATTCGGGGAGCTGCGGTCCTTACCCCCCTGGGGGACCCATCGATGTCGACTTCTGCTTCTACGGCACAAGATGGCGTAAGCGGACGCATTTTCTGGTCGGCCACGCGACACCCGGCTGCATGTAGCATCTCGGAGGGAGGCTTTGTCGGGGTCGTGGGGTTTGCTCGTGCGCCGGGCAGCCGCGCGTTGAGCTGTCGGGGCCTCGCCCAAGTAGACGTGCACCTTGGACGAAGGCCGCTTGTGCCATGATCTCGCCGCCGCCCTGACGACTGTTAGCAGACAGAGAACGCGTCCATGTTTCGGGAAGTGATTTGGGACTTGCCTTTCTTTTCGGGAGTCTGGTCGCGCTCAGAGCCGACCACCATCTCCGGAGTTGCCTCGCCTTTGGCAGGACCGTTGCCTGTCGAGCTCGCCCGTGCTGCGTTCCTCGAGAGACGATCTTTATACTATATATATATATTTATACAAGTTGTGGAAGATGGGGCTTCGCAGACATTGGAGTGCTTGCGCGGTGTTGTCTGCCGCCCAATCGCTTTTGTCCGTCTCAAGTGCACCCGTGGCCTGCTCTCCGCCATTCTGGCGTTTCGTACTTCTCTCCTTGAAGCCTTTCTTTTCGGGATGCTGGTCCCGTTCACTGCCGACAACCATCTCCCGATTTGCTTCGCCTTTGGCAGGACCGCTGCCTGGCGAGCTCGCCCGTGCCGCGTTTCTCGAGACACGAACTCTCTGCTTCCCAAACGTTGTGGAAGATGGGGCTTCGCAGGCATATGTTTCGCCGCGCTCTAGCCGATGGTCCAGTACGCTGTCAGAGATGCATTTGGGCCGCCTGCATGACGAAGTCTTGCTCTGCACCAGCCGCGAAGCTCCATTCATGAGGTTGGGGTTCGCAATCTTGGGGGTGTGGTTCGCGCTGGCCTGCGCTGTGGACTTCTGCGCATTCCATCTGCCCTTTGCTGCGGGCTCTGGCTTTCGCAGTTTGCTTTCATAGATTCCCACATGTCCTTACCATGGCCTCCTGGTCCTCCATCATCATTCCTCCCGCTTTCCTCTTTTCCTCTTCGTCCACCCCCGCGCCCTCCCTCCTTCCAGGATTCGGGCGCGCCCGCTACGTTTGGCGGCGTTCGCTGGGTTCAGCTTCAATTCCATTCTCGGGAATGCGCCCCCCCCCGGCTCGGACTCGCGCTGCGCGTCTTCGCGGGGCCTGTCGGATCCAGCCTGGGTTGTGTCTGGCAGGTCGGATTCCCTTGTGCTCGGACTCGCATTGTACGTCGTCGTTGCGTTCTGAGGCCTCCATCCATTCCCACGGGGCGCGCGGAAAACATGCGGATGACGAAATCATGCAATATGTTGCATTCGCGCATATGGCAAACATGGAGCAGAACAATTAGCCGGAACGCGGAGTTGCAACCGAGGTTTTCACCTTCGGCCGCGCGGGGGAAGTTCGTGGCAAGGAAACATTGCCAGGCAGGGTGAGGACCGATCTGCCTGATGAGCCATGCTTCTGCGAGCGTTAGGAGTGCCGCTCGTGGTGTTTTCGAGGGCTGCTGGGGGGGTGTCCGCCATAGTTACTGTTAGTTACTGTTTAATGGTGTTGCTTGTTTGTAGCGTTTCGCACTTTGTAGGTTGGCATTGTTACTCTCGCCAGCGCGGTGTGAAGCTCTATGAGTCTGATGGGCCGTACAAGCCCCGTGAATGAGCCCTATGAGTGAGCTTGATAAGCCCCGTTCGCCAAGTGAACCCCGCGAGTCTCACGAGCCCATCAATCCGCATGAGATCTGCGAGCCTCTTGTGCGGGTCCGTGACGCCTACGCCCATGGGCCCTATGAGCCGTGCTGGTTGGCTTTACAAGGCCCGGGAGCCTTGCCCGTCAAGGGGGTTGCTCATGTGGACCCAAGGGCGCCCTGATAAGAATCCCAAATCGCCCCTAGATGGCCCTAGGGCCCAAGAGGGCCATCAACAGTAAACGAAACTCTGCCAATCGCTCTGGCGGATGCGTTCGCTCTCCTGAGGCCTCCAAGATGGCCGAGGACGGGGCCCGGGAGAGCCCCCGCCCACGGCCCGGAGTGCAGCGCGCCGAAGGGGGCGGCTCAGAGCGCGACCCTCCAGCGCGTGTTTGAAAGGGGGGAGGGTTTTCTCAGCCCACTCCGGGGAAGGAGGGGGAGGAGGAGGAGGAGGAGGAGGAGGAGGAGGAGGAGGAGGAGGACGAGGAGGGTCTGGCCAGGACGAGGAGGACGAGGAGGACGAGGAGGAGGAGGAGGGGCCCCAGGTAGTCCCAGCACGGCTGCAATTCGGCTCCCAGGAAGCCCTAGGAGGGCCCTGAGAGATTTTGTGTTGTCCGACTTTTTCTCGTCGCCCTTCTGTGCTGTATCATGTAGGATATGGTGTGCGCATGCGCATGGCTGTTGTTATATCCATGCTGAGTGGTCTATACCCAACGAGGTAGGAACTTATATTACACGTGATGAATTGCGCAGCGCCTGTGCCAATGTTCTATGCCAGGCCCCCGAGTGCCCAGATGGCCCACAATTGCGATGGCATCGCGTTGCTATTTTCACGAACGCTAGCGTTGTCAAGGACCAGTTTTCATTGCCAAACAATTCGTTAGTCTATTCGGGGGATCCGGGGGGCAACGCGCGTTGGAACATGGTATACAGCTACCCAGCACGAAACCACAATAAGAGCATCGGTCCTGTGGCAAGAGGTTCTGGACGAAGAGGGCATTCAACGAACAAGGAGAAGGGGGGGCGTTTCGCCCGCGCTCAACAAGACCGCTTCCAAGCAAAAAAGGCCGTTCCTTCGTTTTGGTAGGACGGTGTTCCGCTTGATTCCCCCAAGTGGGCTCGCGAGGCAGCCCCTGAGATGCCTTCAGGGGGCCTCGAGGTTAGACGCACAAGCAATCGTGTGTATGTATATGTATATTTTAGGTGGTACACATAGCAAATGGTTAGGCGTGTTTATATATAAATATTACAAAGTACTTGTGTTTGCTGTTAGTGGGGCAGGCTGTTGTGTTTGCTGTTAGTGGAACAGCTGGCCGTGGTCTCTAACGCGTGGTCCTTTCCGCTTTCCGCATTAAATCGTACATATATGTATACATATATTTATATTTATGTGTATACATACACATATCGATGTATACATATATATGTATGTACTACCGGAGGGCTGGGCACATGACCGCGCAGCCGAACTTATATCCCGAACGCATCGTGTTATATCGTATATGGATATACATCGAATGTCCCCGAAGCCCAAAGCAACGAAATGCAAGCGCGCTAGGTTTTGGCAGCGCGTAGGGGTTGGGATCGCAATCGAAGTTGCTTGGGAATCACGCGCCCCATCTACAGGCATTGGTCGGTTAGTCGACCAGGGCATGTGAAGGGGTAGTCCAGCGCCGCAGCTACGAAGGCCGCCTTAGAAAATGCTCCCTAGGGCAAACGCCCGAAGACAGGAGCTCCTTTACAAGGTTGGGCACGGTGGTCGACCCCGAAAACCGACCAATTTTAGCCCGAAGTGGTCGGTTTTCCTGCGCCATTTGGTCGGCCAACCATTCGGGGCCTCCGCCGCCAGGACCCCTTCGCGTATCCCAGTCGGCGACCCGATTGGGGCACGCGCGGGGAGTTCTTGGAGCCTACGCCGGCTTCCTTCGCATGTCCCAGTCGGATCCCCGACGAGGGCATGTGAAGGGGGAGACGTGGTGCCGCAGCTGCGCCGAACACGCCCCGCAGCAGACGCAAGCAGTTTGGGACATTTCTGGGGAGGGGGTCGCGAACACTCTCAAAAATCATGTCCCCAGAAGGCTTGCCGGGAGCATGATTCATCAGGCCCTTAACATGGGCGACGACGACGACGGAACGCCGCAAGCAGCCTCCAAGACATTCCCACCATTCAGGTTCCGAAAAAGGCGACGACGACGACAGAACGTTTTCGGCCGTTCTCAGGCTGAACAATCCCTCAGTGGTCTTCTGGAGCGAGCAAACAGCTCAGGATAATAAAGCTGGATAGAGCTGATCCTGGGGACGAGGTTCACACATCCAGGGCCGCCGTTAGGAACAAATCGCGACGTCGGGGGGGTGGGGGGAGGATAGGGAAAGCGGCGGAGGTTATTCAGTATCGGCTAACTGACCCCAACCCCCATTGAGCTTCCTACCAACCTAATTACCCTTCCTCCCGCCGCCGAGGTAAGGATTTACCCAGTGAAACCCGAGGGAGACGGCATACATCGTGGGGGTAAATCGCCCAGTGGGACGAGGGCCACGCCTGTGGGAATAGGGGTCGGTTCAACGATACCAGTAATGAGATCAGTTGTGCGCAGTTGATCTTAGCGGCCCGACGGGCGGCTGAGAAAGTTTCTCGGTCACCTTGCTCTGTTTGGTTTCCCAGATCACTCTCAGAGGGAGGGTAGATCGTTCAAGCGAAAAGATGTTCGCTCAAGCGAAAAACTGGTTCGTTCAAGCGAAAAAACAAACAGCGAAAACTACGTGGATAAACGCAGGTAGACACAGAGGGGACACAAAGGGACACAGGGGGACATTGGGGGACACAGGGGGACACAGAAGGACACAGAGGGACATAGAGGGACACAGAGGGACACAGAGGGACAGAGAGGGACACAGAGGGACACATAGAGACACAGAGGGACACAGAGAAACACAGAGAAACACAAGGACACAGAGAAACACAAAAGGACACAGAGGGACACAGATAACATACAGAGAAACGCAAAAGGACAGAGAAACACAAAGGGACACACATAAACACAGATAATCACAGATATACACAGGGACACAGAGAGAC